TTAGATCCAGTTCTCTGCTTATGGCCTGGGAAGGCAGGGGAGGATGGCCCAAAGCCTTGGGAGCCTGCACCCATGTGAAACATCCAGAAGAAGCTCCTGACTTCTGGCTTCAGATCAGCTCAGCTCTGGATGTTGTGGTGATTTGGAGAGTGAACCAGCAGATGGTAGACCTTTTCTCTGTTTCTTCTCCTGTCTCTGTAAAGTCTGCCTTAAATAAAAATAAATAAATAAAAAATATGAAGCAGGGGCAGGCGTTTGGCCCAACAGTTAATCTGTCAGTTAGGATACATAGGGTGGGTTCATAGTGGGGAGAGTGACTACCAGTGAGGAGGAGAGAATGTGTGGGGTGACAGTGTTATATGTGTTTATTGGGGGTGGTAATTATATAGTACTGTCTATTTCAGAACTTACATAACTATACAAAATGGGTACATTTTATACACATAAATCATATTCCAAAGCTGATTTTAACTTTCAAATAATTCCTAAAGGCACTGGGATAACTCCAGTAAAAGGTACTATGTGTCAGTTTGGCTTGTGTGGCTATAATGATACTTACGCTGGACAGTTTATAGCAAAGAGAGATTTGCTAAGTCTAAGTCTGAGTGGCTCCATCTGTTTGACCTCTGATGAGGGACCCCTGGCAGAAAGGGAAAAGGCCGCATAAAGAAGGAGACAAGCTTACTATGCAACCAGTTCTCTAAAGAACTCATTCTGAAAACGAGTACTAGTTCCTTCTTAGGTGGTGCTCCATGACCTAATGAACTCATACTAGGCCCCAGCTCTTGAAGGTTCCACTACCTCAATACTATCACACAGGGGCCAAGCTTGTAGCACACAAACCTTTAGGGGACACACTTGTATCATCTGAGCACATGTCACACCCACCTACCTCTTCTGTTTAATCTTGTACCAGTCTGTGTCTCACTGTGCTCCAGCCATGCTGGGCATTTCACATGCATCAGAACCCTTGGTGCTCTCTTTCAGCTGTCAGTTCCTATGGCTCCTCCTTCCTTGGGTTCTATCTTTCCCCTAGCCTTCTTGCATTTATCCTCCAAGGATGGGATCTCTAGCACATGTACTTCTTATAATAGCAATTGTTTACCTATTACTGGTAGCTATGGATGAAGTGCCTTTCCTTTCTAGATCAGAAGTTTCTAGAATCCAGGGGTTTCTATGTTGCTTTCCACTCTTCCCATAGTTATAGGAAATTTTCAACTATTTGCTGATAAAGCAAACAAAAAATGTCTAAACTTTCTAAATAAAATTTTAATGTATTGAATTTAGTAATTTGCTAAAATCAATATAGCACCTTAAGATGTAAATTGTAGCCCAATATTTTTAACTGTATTATATAATTCATCATATTTATATATCAAAAGAGATGGGTTGGCATTGTGGCACAGTGTGTTAAATTGTTTACAGCACAGGCATGTCATATCAGAGTGCTATTTGGAATCTTGGCTGCTCCACTTACAATCCAGGTAGATATTTGAGGATTACCCATGTACTTGAGATCATGCCACCCTTCTGGGAGACTGGGGTGGAATTCCTAGCTCTTGGCTTCAGCCTGGCCCATACCTAGTTGCAGCCCATTTGTAAGTGAACCAGTAGACGGATCGTTCTCTCTGCATGTTGCCATACCTTTCAGGTAAATAAGCAGATAATTATTTAAAAATATATATATATTTCAAAGGAGATATTGGGAAAAGAGATTAAACGAAATTTAATATCTTCCAGTAAAAAAAAAAACCTTTTGGTGACCCTGGAAAGGCTGTTTTAACATAATAAATATTGACACTAACAATATACCTAAGAGTATCCCTATATCTTTATAAAGTAGTCAGCCTTCAGGTTTTTCATTATAATAATAAAAGGCTTCCTAATGCATTCAGTAAAGTTGTGAGGTCCAAAGTACGTGAAAATTCACTATAAGAACAGTGTATTTATTTTTTTTAAGATTTATTTTTATTATTTTTTTATTGGAAAGGCAGATATACAGAGAGGAGAGACAGAGAGGAAGATCTTCCGTCCAATGATTCACTCCCCAAGTGAGCGCAACGGCCAATGCTATGCCGATCCAAAGCCAGGAGCCTCTTCAGGGTCTCCCACACGGGTGCAGGGTCCCAAAGCTTTGGGCCGTCCTCGACTGCTTTCCCGGGCTACAGGCAGGGAGCTGGAAGGGAAGCGGGACTGCCGGGATAGAACCGGCGCCCATATGGGATCCCGGGCATGCAAGGCGAGGACCCTAGCCACTTGTGCCACCACACCGGGCCCAAGAACAGTGTACTTAAACAATGCAGTATTGTATGAATACGCAGATCATATCATAGCTTGTAAGTGTAGAAAAAAGACCTATAATTTTTGTCACATGAAAAATTACTATGAAAGTGACCACTGGGTTTTTTGTTTGTTTGTTTGCTTTGGTGTTTTAATGGCTTAAGATGTTGCAGTTTTTGTTTTTGTTTTGTTTTTGTTTGACCTATGTATTTAAATCCTTCTAGAGATAGCATTTGTGTTGAATGGTAACAATTTATGCATATATATGCATGTTGGTTTTGGTCACTTTGGAGGGGTGCTTTTAGGGCCTGTTTGTAAGTGGGGTTTTATTTTTTGTTTTTCCTTGGCTGCGATTGTCATTTTTGCATAATAATAGTGTGCAACTTGGTGAGCAAATGAAAAAACAAGAAAAAAAGAAAGTGATCACTGAAGAAATGGATTATTTAAGTAATTGTATCAGGGCATTATAGCTATATATATCCAACTTGGAAGTATGGATTGAAATACTATTTAACTTTTAATTCATCTGGAACTTAACAGTATATACAAGTATTAATATTTGTACATGCATGCATTTAATGGTGGAATTAGTGAAGACTTTCAAGGCTGGATCCTTCAGATCATAAAGGAAAAAACTGATACACTGAACTATATGGAAATTTAAACTTTATAAACAAAGTTAAAATGAAAATGGTAAATCAGTATATGCAAGATGAGATAAAAGAAGTGATTGTCCTTAATTTATTGATATTGCTTAAACTCAACAAGACACACTTATGTAGAAAAATGGGTAAAAGTTATCTATGAACATATCATTTATAAAAGAAATACAAATGGTAAATAAATATGTCAGGATTTAAAACTAGTAGCAACTAAAAGAATAAAAATATTCTACCTATCAATTAAGAACATCTAGAACTAATTATACTCAGTATAAGGGGAGATGGAGATTTAAATACAGATGATAGTTTTATAAATTGGCTCATCTTTCTGGAGGTCAGTTAGGTGGTATTCACAAAATGTCAAAACATGTACATTCCCCCTAGAATTCTGTCTCGAGAAAATATTGGACACCTGTGCAAAAGTGAGTGTTCTCTTAATATGGTTCTCTTTATAATGCTGAGATACAGAATCAGCATGAAGGGAAAATAATTTGATATGCTAGAGTATCCATCAGAGTTTAAAATTGTATTTCCACATATACATCTTTGGATGTATATTTAAGTTCTAAAGATGTGTATAACATAAAATCAAAATCATATTCAATGATCTTATCATAAGATACGCATATTCAATGACAATGGAAACAACTTTCTAAGAATATTCACCAGAATGTTAACAGTAGTTGTCTCTTGCAGGAATTATGTATTTCTCTCATTTTTCCCTATTCAAGATTCCTTCATGGGAAATAGAACTCTTTTCCAAAATAATTTAAATATACAATACAAAGGATGGGTTGCTAGATTATTTCTTGATGTTACTGGTGTGACTATTTTAAGCACACAGTCATCCTTTGGTATCCAAGGGAGGTCGTTAACAAAGGGCTTAAGTCCCTGATATAAAGTGCGATAGTCATTGCATGTAACCTATGCACATCTTCCTGTATACTAATATCATTTATAGATTAATTAAAATATTGAATATAATGTAAAAGCTGTGTATAGTTCCATTGCTATTTGGGGGGGGAATAATAAGAAAAAAAGTACACATATTCAGAATAGATGCAATTAAGAATCTTCAAACCTCAGTATGGATGTGGTCACCACATCCATGCAGAGCCAAGTGTATTGGGCACTTAGGTTCTAGATTAGTTCTTAGATTATATTTCTCAGAATGCATCCCGCAGACCATCCCTATTAAGATCATCCAGTATGCTTGTTGAAAGATCAATTTCTTTGGCCCTACCCTAGATCTACTAAACTAAAAATCACTGGTGGTGCTTCCTAAGTCTGGCATTTTAAACAAACTTCCCAGTGTGTTCTTAAGCACTCTGAGGTCTTCCCTACATAGCTAGCGGCAGACAGTTCAAGGTTGGTCTTGAACCTTGTGCTTGAACTCTTCAGAAGGAAAATGGTGCCCAGTTTTCAGGCAGAGGTACAGGTGAGCCTTTCCTGTCTTATATCTTAAGCACTTTACTTCATCACTGTGTTTGCACACACAGTTAGACACATTTCTCCACTCTATCCTGTGTACTAAACATTTTTTTCCACTTAGGAGCTCACATTGCCTGACTATAAGTGCCTGTTTTATTATATATTATATTGGCAAGGTCAGACACTAAGAGGTTTATTCCTTTTTATTTGCATTTGGCATTTTGGATCCCTCCATTTGAAGTAGATTTAAGTAGTACTATGTCATGCAAATCATGCTTTTCATAACCAAAACACTGAAGAATCAGAAACCTTTTAGGGGTAATTTTCTAACCCAATCCTGACACAGGGGAAATGGCAATGTATATCCTATGTCTTCCACAGTGACTTTAAGCATCTATAAAATCAGTCTATGAGGCAAAAGAGCATTCATTACATAAGGGCTATCCCTAGCAGATCCGAAAAGGAAGTTCAGCTCAGTTTCCATAGGAAGTGGCTCCTGAGACACCTTTGTAAAAGGGAGATGGTGATTGTTTTTTTGTTTCCATGGTTTCCATCTACCCAGGCACCACACTCCCATCCCCCAGCCGTCCCTGACCGCCACTCCCCACCCCCCAGAGAAGACCTTACCGGCATGGTGATCTGGATGGGCTGCCGTTCTCCACTCTTGGTTGGAGCCACACCTTCTGTGTCATAGGTTCCAGTATAAACAACTCTGTCCCCATCAGGCTCTTTGGACTTCAGCTCCAATGGGACCAGCACACCACCAATGGAAATGTTCCTGCAATGGACTTGAATTGAGATTTGTGGCAGGAGTCAGCTTAAACCCCTGTCTTTAGAACAGAACCCTAGAATAGAAATCTGTGGAGCTTGGCTAGTAGAAGCATTGTGGAATGGAGGAAAGTTCTGTAAGTTCAGGGGATTTGGCTTTTCTAATTAGGCCTGGTCAGCCATGTGACGTGGACATTGTCTCTCTGGAGTGACCTCAGTATTTTCACACTGACTATTCTTCCAGGGCCCAGTTGGTCTGTTGTGGTTTAGTGACTCCTAGAAGTCGCCTGTGGTGCTGCGAAAATCCTACCTAAACCTAGATCCCTAGATCCGTCCATGATTGGGAAATGCTATTCCTCCAGTCAGCTACACCATCAGAATCTTCGACACTATGCCTTTGTGTCAAAGTGAACTCTCAGACTAGCAATATCTTCATCACCTGCCAACTGTCTGAGGGGTAGTGAAGAAGAAACTCCTCACCCTATTGCCTCTCGGCCTTTTGGCTAAGATTAAGTGTGAGAAACTCCTCACCCAGGTCCCAACCCTGTATTTTAAGCCCTCCAGGTGATTCTTGCATACACAGGTTTCAGACTACTGAAAAAGGCCACTTGGAAAAAAATCGTTGATTAAATTAAAGCATAACCAGAAAGAATGTTTTTCTTGTTAACAAATTCGGTTTTTAGATTAGCTTCAAAAGTAGAAAAAGACCCTGGCAAGGAGGCGGGGGAGTAGTGGGTGGAGAGGGACATAGAAGAGTTAACTAACTCAAGAGGAGGAAGGAGAAGCCTGCAGTGTATCAGGTGCAGAGCACCAGAAAATGGGAGGGCAATGGATGTGCGTGCAATAAGGGATTGCTAACAACCAGGTAGGCCAGGAGCACTGGGAACCGTCTAGGTTGGTTCCAGGTTCTTGCCTTATGGCCAAGCACCTAGAGAGCAAACAGGTTCACTGAATTAAGCTTAAACTACAAAAATGTATGATGGCTCCAGAGCCCCATTCCCCCAACAAGGCTGAGCACACGGTGAACCTGATAGTTTATTTCCTTCTCCCCTACCAGCCTTCCAAGAACGCTTAGGTGGAACCTGAGAAATAAAGGGTTGCACCCATGATTTTTCCCAGAAGGCTCTTGAACTCCCACCCTAACTCTCCCTGGAGGTCTGTGTGCTAGGCGCTTCACCCTGTAGTAGCAGGGAAGAGATAATCCCTGCCTCAATAAACCCCAAAACATCCTCCTGTTATGAGGATGTTGCTAATCCTAGGCACCATCTTTGGGCTGAAAAAGACAATTCTGGAAGAGGGTGAGCAGTTGTGTGGGGAGGCTTAAGGCACAGAGAACCGTGAAACCCAGGCTTGAACAGGACGCTGTAGTCCTGCTCCAGGTTCTGGGTCTCCAGCCAAAAAAGGGTTTACGCAGCGACGCGGAGCATCCCTTGGGAAGCCCGGGTCACCGCCCCTCCCCTGCTCTTAAATCCTGCTTCTCAGCGTTTCCAATCCTGGTGACGCCGCGGGGCCCGGAAGAGCACTGCGTTTGCGGATCCCAGTAGGTGAAGCCTGTGGCCGGCTTCTTCCAACCGCCGCGCCCTGGCAGCCAGGGGTTCCCCGCCCAAGGCTGGACAGGGGGGAAATTGTCCAGCACACACACACATTCACACCTGATTCTTGCCGCTGGTTTCAACAGTCCGTTTGCGATCACCGTCGTGGGAGTGGGGAAGTGGACACGTGCCTAAGGGATCCCCTCTACCCACCCCCCCGGGTCCCCTGGGCGCGGCTAAAGGTTCCAGGGATCCCGGGGAGGTTCTGGATGTCCGGGGACATCGGTTCCGCTCCGGTACCCCGCGCGCGGCCCTGAAGCCGCGACGCGCCCCGCACTCACTCGACCTGCAGTGTGGTGGGCTTAATCTTCACCTCCACCTTGTAGGAGGAGCCCGTGAGCAGCTTGATGGTGCGGTTCTGGCCGAAACGCTGCCCATCCACCTTGAAGAAGACCGGACCGTCGTTAGGCTGGATGCGCAGTGCGATGGAGAGGCGTACAATGCCGGGCAGGTCCCCCATGGTTGCACGAGGGGCTGCAGCGGTGGCTCCCGGGGCCAGGGACAACGCGGGCGGCAGCCGAGAGGCTGGAGCGCGGTGGGCGGAGAGGAAGCGCGGGGAGGGAGAGGGAGGTGGTGGAAGGGAGGCTGCCTCTAGGAGTCCGTGCTGGCGCCGTCGTCTGCCCTGGTTTTTGAGCAGCACCCCTGGAGGCTGTGCCCTCCAGCCCTGCACGGCCAGACAGCAAGCCGCAGAGACGACTCCCGAGGCACTAGCGTCCCCATCCCCCGCTCCCCGTGCGGTGCGCTGGGAGCACCCGAGGGCTCGCTCTGGCCCCTCAGGCCGCGGCGCAGAAAAGCAGAGCTGCTGGGGACGAGGGAGTTAATCCTGTTTACTCAGCACAATCCCCTTCTACTGGGGAAGCGGACCTTTAGGCTCCTCCTTAGAACAGCTTCGGGCGGGAGCAAAGGCTGGCAGGGGAGGGTGGCGGCGCTGAGGTTTGGCACCAACCGCACCAGCGATGTGCCCCCGTCCCCATTTCGGCCTCTGCCTACCCTCCAGCCAGCTATGGGATGGAGGAGCTATTGTTGAGGATCGCCCGGGCCAGGCAGGAGAAGGCATAGAAGAGGAAAGGGCGACGGAAGTGGGGCAGGAAACCGCTAGCCAGTGATTTAAAGGCCAGGAAATAGTCTTTGCAAAGCTCGTAGGATATGGCCAAAGGGCGGATTATATCTGGCATGGAGAGCGAGCCACAGTGGATTCATAATAAGTGCAGGAAAAAGAAAAAACCATATTGAAGAGCCACAGCTTCTTGTGGGCGTGTTTTAACATTGTGCATAGCCTTGTGAAAGAGTGTGAGAAATCAGGCATTTGCACCGACCTTGAAGAAGAAACTGCTACCCCTGCGAAAGGCAAATGGCGTGTGCCAACGGCATGGCTGTGACAGCAGCCAAGAGGAGGGACAGGTCCGAAGCGTATTGGCAGGGCATGCACTGCGATGCTACAGAATTGGGATTTGCATATCCAGTATGATTAGAGAGTTTTCATGGCAGAGTCCATAGGCAGCTGGAGATTTTGGAAGCAAGGGGAGATCAAGGGCATTAGGGCGGCCCAGGGAGTGGCTTCAAATAGCCGCTGGGAGCACCTGCTTCAGCACCAGCTAGGTGGATAGTACCACAGCCTGTGCGCACACCTGGGCAGTCATAGGTTGGTTTGGTAGCATGAGTTCACCAGACTAGAATAGGTATCCTTAGAAACCATAATATGATAGGCAGGTTAAAAAAAAGTTAGTGAAAAACGAATACTTAAAAGGTTTCTTGGGGCCAAAAATATTTGCGTTCAATGCTCTATCATAAATAACATTTTTATCAATTTGAGAAAAGCACATCTCATATGCATGAATTTCAGATTTTTGCACCAAAATAAACTTGCTTTTAATCCATTTTCCATGAACTTATTGGAAATACCAGTGAGTGTGCAAGAGAAAAAGAAAAAGAGAGAGATGGAATATTGGTGTTCAGTTAAGCGCTGGTTGCAAACATTTAAAAAAACCATAATGTGCTATCAATTATAGTGTATTATGCAACTGTTAAAATAATGACTGATGGATTGGCAAGCCCTTATGATAAAACTTAGGACAGAAGTGGGATGGCTGGTATGCTGGAGGAACCTGAAGGAAGGTGTGCTTGTCTCTTCATTACTGTATCTCTTGTAAGTACAGAGGAGTTCCTGTCACATAGTCTAACTTCATAAGTATTTATTAAATTGAATTTCTGTTCTTGTTTCCAACATGCTTATGTGTGAATTTTCATATATCTTTAGAATTAGTTAGGTCCATTTGATTTACCTGGAGTGATATAAAGAGAAAGAAATCTTTGCTGGTACTATGTATAGTGTATTAAAGCCATGAAACAGGGCCCAGTGCAGTGGCCCAGTGGCTTGAACCTAGCCTTGCTTTGCATGTATTCTATGTATGTACTGATTCATGTCCTGGTTGCTCTGCTTCCCATCAGCCCTTTGCTTGTGGCTTAGGAAAGCAAGACCCGAGGCCTTGGGACCCTGCACCTGTGTGGGGGACCTGGAGGAGGCTCCTGGCTTCTGCCTTCAGGTCAGTGTGACTCTGAACATTGCAGCCACTTGGGAAATGAGGCAGTTGATGGAAGGATCTTTCTCTCTGTCTCTCCTTCTTTCTGCAGTTCTGCCTTTCCAATAAAAATTGATAATTTTTTTTAAAGCTGTGCAGCAATGAAAAAGCCAAACAAATGTGTGTGTTTTTTATTAGTAGTTCAAAAATGATGAGTGGGTACACACTAAAATTAATATTGTTATTCTGGTGGAGGGGTAGTGGAAAGGGTGTACATATCCTTTTTGGAATTATTATAAAGCCTTTGGAAAGTTAATGTCGGGCCCAGTGGCGTGGCCTAGTGGCAAAAGTCCTCACCTTCAACGTGCCGGGATCCCATATGAGCACCGGTTCTAATCCCGGCAGCTCCCCTTCCCATCCAGCTCCCTGCTTGTGGCCTGGGAAAGCAGTGGAGGACGGCCCAAAGCTTTAGGATCCTGCACCTGTGTGAGAGACCTAGAAGAAGTTCCTAGCTTCTGGCTCCCGATTGGCACAGCAACAGCCGTTGCGCTCACTTGGGGAGTGAATCATCAGATGGGAGATCTTCCTCTCTCTGTCTCTCCTTCTTTCTGTATATCTGACTTTGTAATAAAAATAAACAAATCTTAAAAAAAAAAAGAAAATTAATGTCAGCCTCTAGTTCAACAGTCCCACAGTTTCATGCAGCTTGCATTCTGTATTGAGGATGTTGGATTTGGATTATAATGACTACTGTTAAAACCTGAATTGGTCACTTAATGTTTTCTTTGGGCAGAGAATTTAACATCTCTGTTTCTCCATGTCCACTAATTGGACATTAAAATATTTCGTTCTCAACACTGTGAAAATGAAGTGAGAAGATGGAAGCAGTTATTTTTAAAATGCGAGATGTTATTGATGCTAGGCAACATCTATCAGGACTAATGTTTTCAAGTCCATGTCTTAGAGTACAGTAATAAATGTAAGAGTAATTGGGAAATTTCTCATACTGACACCTATGTGCAAAGAATATAAGCATGGAGTCTGATGGAGCAGTGTTTGTAGCCCAGAAGCACTAGTTACGATCCTGGGAACCTTGAGCAAGCTACTTAGTTTCTCAGAGCTCAGGTTTTTCATATGTATGGTGATGGTGTTGGCGCCAGCCTTGTGGCACATTGGGTCAAGCCAATGATCTTCCTGCTTCTACTCTTTCCCTCCACGCTCTCCTGTAAGTAGCCCTTCCACGTCATGCTCCTTGTCCTCCCTCTACTTCATTTTTCTTCAGAGCATTTATCACTAACTGGAAGCAAAAAACAAACCTGCCTGCCTGCACACTGTTTCTTCTACTAGCATATAAATGCCTATGGGGCAAGAGATTTTATCTTCTTCATAAATATATTTGCTATTGTTAAAACCAAGCCTAGTGGACCTTGGGGAAGAGCACCAGCAACCCCAGAACCTATGGAACCATGTCACAAAGCAAAGTAAAATATGTTTAAAAATAAATAAATAATAGCAAAACAAAAACAAAAAAACCCGGCCTAGTGAATAGAGCTGCCTAACACAGAGACTTGTTGAATGAGTAAATGGAAACCAGAATGTGTCAAAATTGTATGTAATTCTTTCCATTCATCAAGGTTCAGGTCAAGCCCTGCCTTCTTGAAGCTATTACTGACTAGTCCCATATTCATCAGTACTCTCTTCCTTTGAAATCTTAGTCATTGTACAGTTAGTATTAATTGAAGTATTTAGGGGTCATAGAAAGCTGGAAGAGGAGAAAGTGGCCATTGACGCCCCCCCAAATTAGGGGATGATGGTATTACAAATGGCAGCACAACAATGCAGCACATTTTATAAGATTTATTTATTTTTTTATTGGAAAGGCAGGTCAGGTTTACAGAGAGAAGGAGAGAGAGAGAAAGCGCTATCATCCTCTGATTCACTCCCCAAATGGCCGCAATGGTAGGACCTAAGCCGATCCATAGCCAGGAGTCAGGAGCTTCTGGGTCTCCCAAATGGCTGCAGGGGTCCCAGGCTTTTAGGCCATGGTTTACTGCCTTTCCAGGCCATAAGCAGGGAGCTAGATGGGAAGTGGAGCAACTGGGATACTAACCGGTACCCACATAGGATCCTCATGCTTGCAAGGTAACGAGTTAGCCCATTGAGCCATCATGCTGGGCCCTCATCTTCTTTTTCAAGTGGTATGATAAAGCCCATGAAATAGAAATGTGTCTTTTTAGAGGCACCTCTTTTCCAGCTATTGTTAAAGATATTGCTTACAGGTTTTTGCTCTCTGCATCATTTTCCATCTTCACAAAAAGAAACCTTTTCAAAAAGCTGTCATTTATTTTTTTACAAACAAGGTTTCCAGGAATGACACTGAAACTGTTGATTGTTGCCATTTTCTTTATTATGATTAATGGGAAACTAATGGTTTTTAATGAATATAGTTATCAAGCAAGAAGGCATATTTAATTCTTCTGTTCACCAGGTTGCAAAGTATTTTGTTCAGGTTAGCTTAAAACAAGAACAAGGTCATTCCCTGCTTCTCCTGGAGGAAAGAAGTTCTCCTTCTCTCACAAAAGCCCGATTCTCCATGATCCTTTTATTATTTTACTCCATTAAATAACAAGGATCCAAGTTGCTTAATATTTGCCTCTCTTACCATCCTTTTCATTCTTCAAATATTTGAAATGTCTTCTTCAGTGTAGAGATGTGACATTTTGTTTTCTACAGTTATTTTATTTATTCACTTTATTGTTTCTTTATTTTCATTTGGTTGAAAGACTGAGACCAAGACAGATTATCTACTGGCTCATTCTTCACATGTCTGGCCTGGAGTAGGCCAGAGCCAGGAGCCAAGAACTCACCCTGGATCTCCCACATGGGTGGCAAGGACTACTTGGGCCATCACCATTGCCTTCCAAGATGTGCAGGAAGCTGGAACCAGAAGAGCCAGGGCTTGGATGTAGGCACTCTACCTGGGATTCAGGCATCCACAGCAGTACTTCAAC